ACTACTTTGAGATCCACTGCTTCAGGTAATTCAATTAAAAGAACATTAACCAAGCATCTTCCATATTTATAAAGTATATTTAAAAAAAAAAAAAAGGAAAATACATACCCAAACATGAACTTACCTTCCAGGAAGTCTGACATGGGGAAGACTGAGGGGAGGGGAGTCATAAATTTGATAAAACAGATATTTATAAGAGAAATATCTATGTCGTTGAAAGCACAGAGGTCAGGGTTTTCACATTCTGATTAAGAAGAGCCCTGTGACTTCAACTGCCTTTCAGCTATTTCTCAGCTGACAACTGTAGATAATGGATAATGAAGAACAATGCAAATACAATTCTTGTCTATATTCTTGTAAATTCTATCTAATGGAGGCTCAACGGACTGCTGCGCCAACTGCTGAAGACAGTTTTGCCTCCATTTGCTCGTTTCAATAGTCCTGATCAATAAATATGTCTCCTCTTTTGTCATTTGAATTAGTTACAACATTGTTTCCTCATTAATAAGGTAAACAAAAGTCATATGTTCATAATTTTATATCTGTGTAAACCATCATGATTTTACTTCCACCCCTTTTGGAGAAAATTCTTTTAAACATAGGAAGAGATTAATTATCTCGAGCCAATCACTTTAAGCAGTATATCTACCATTCCTCTTAAAAGGAAAAAAAGTCTTGTTTTTATTTATTTTAATTTTTTAAAGTTTATTTATTTTGAGAGAGAGAGAAACAGAGAGAGAATGAGTGGGGAAGGTGCAAAGAGAAGGAGACAGAATTCCAAGCAGCCTCCTCACCATTAGCACAAAGCCCAATGCAGGGCTCGAACCCATGAACTGTGAGATCATGACCTGAGCTGAAATCAAGAGTAGGATGCTTAACTGACTGACCCACCTAGGTGTCCCTAAAAGTTCTGTTTTTAATCAGATAAGATGGAAACCAATAACAAACAAAAAACCCTAAATGTGCTCATTTAGGCCTGATTAATTTAGTTTTTCTCCACCACCTTTTGGGAAGGTTTCACTCTGATACAAATGAGATCCAGGTCTTCAAATACTTTTAAACTATACTTTGTGATGTAAGGTTTACAAATACTAACACTTAATTCCTGAAGGATCGACGGGTCTCTGAAGGCCTTCCTGTACAGAGGTTTGGATGAATTTTATTTGTGTACTCATTTTCCATTTCAAACAGTAAAAATGCCTTTTGGGAAGTTGAATTTTACCTGAGACTGATGTTTCTTGTTCTTCAAGAGTCACGGTTAAGGAAATCCTCCCACCATTCTCCTTATGGCTTCTAAAAGACTCTGAGGATACCCCCTTGTCTACCTGTGACTAGGACAAAGGTCATCAAAACTCCCAATCTCTGCCTCATTTACAAATCTGTGAATCTTAACTGCATGTCAAAACTGACCAATCAGAACAAAAATCCTTTTTAGCCTTATTTTAGGTTTCTCTCCTTCCCCCAGATCTCTGAATTTTGGATCAATGAGTTCTGTTGCAGCATCAGTTTATTCCTCTTCCCTGGAGATACTGGTAGATCTTTTGGTCAGAGAATTCTCTTCACTGCAATAGTTCCTTTTCCTCTATTGCCATACCTTTCAAATAAAGTCTCTCCTTACTAACTCTGGATTTTTTTTTTATTTGAAAAAGCCCTAAAAAATTTTTGCAGTTTGGACTTTCTGTTGCTTTAGGGTTGCCAACATTCAGTGCCTAAATATAGTGTTTTGTGATTCCAAAATCAACATTTAATATTTTTTTAAAATTAAAAAAAATATTTTATTTATTTTTGAAACAGAAAGAGACAGAGCATGAGCGGGGGAGGGGCAGAGAGGGAGGGAGACACAGATTTTGAAATTGGCTCCAGGCTCTGAGCTGCCTGCACAGAACCGGAAGCGGGGCTTAAACCCACGAACCACAAGATCACGACCTGAGCCCAAGTCGGACGCTTAACCGACTGAGCCACCCAGGCGCCCCATAACATTTAATATTTTTACAGCAATACTAGAAGAGTCAAGAAACAATGAAATAAGTGTAGAACAGATTAGACCCCTTCAACCACCTTAGGCAGGAATAAAGTTATTTTCTCTTGGTATGATCGTATGATTTGAACCCTGCAAGCTCAAGAAACTTGAGTTGAGGTTTTTTTCCCCCTTAAATTTAGGTATAATTTACATATAACATTATTGGTTTCAGGTATACAAGGTAAAAATTCGGTATTTTGCCTATATTGTGAAAGACAACCACAGCAAATCTAGTCAACATCTATCGCCACACAGTTACACTTTTTATCTTGTGAGAACTTTTAAGATTTACTTCCTTAGCAACTTTCAAATATGTAATACAGTGTTATTAACTATAGTCACCATGCTGTATATCACATCCCCATTACTTATTTCATACCTGGAAGTTTGTACCTTCTGATCCTCTTCACCCATTTTGCCGACCCCCTACATCTGGCAACCACCAATCTGTTCTCTTTATGTAGGAGTTGGTTTTTTAGAAAAATTAATTTATTTAAAATTTATACATATATATTAAGATTCTATGGAATAAGCCTTTAAGCATTATCACTTGCTATCCATTACTAAACTCTAAGGTAGGCAGGTTAAACACAGCTGAGCGAGCTCATAACAAGGAAATGAGGCCAGCAAGCTTTCCTAATAACACCAGGTCTAGGACATTCTAGCAGGGCTCCTACAGGAATTAAAGCAGGACACCACAGCCATCACTGCCACTAACAAAACCACACCAGAGGAAGAGGGATTCATCAAGGAGGTAATTTTTTTTTTTTAGAGGGGTGATATTGTCAACATTTTCCAATAATTTGGTTTCCTTAATACAGCTTTTCCAGTCCCCTAATAATAGTGAAAAAATAGCCCTAAGAGAAAATTTAACCAAGCAATAAATTTATTGAAATTTTTAGATCAACTTATAAGAATCTTTCCCTTTCATGAACAATGCCTTTTTTCTTTCAGGGGGGTCTTAGAAATTTACACGGCATTTTCCCAAATTGTCTCTTGTTTTTAATGAAAAAATTTTCAGAAAAAAATTTCATCTACCCCTACTTTGCAAATCAGCAGTTTTAGTCACAGGCCCACACGTACAAGTCATGCCTCTTGTGAATGACTTTTTGTGTTCATTATCTTCAAATACTAGTCACACTACACATGAATGGACACCAACAGAAGGGTTAAAGAGCCAAATGAGATAGTCTAATACTTAAGACTCAGACCCAATAAGGTAAAGAGAAGGTAAACCAAAATATAGTCAAAGTATCACTTTGGTACAGCACCAAGCATCTCACTAACCTTTACAACAGTGAGATAAATACTATCATCCTCATTTACAGATGAAGAAACTGAAGCTTAGAGCTCTAGTTGCCCAGCACAGAGCCTGTTATAACATTCGAGTTCTTGTTAAATGAATAAAACCAAAAAAAAAAAAAAAAAACCCCACGAAAATTAATTTTACTTTTATATGAAGAATCTCTCTTAATTAGGTCCTGATGATTTATTCTAGTTTTACCTAATATATTCCCTTCAGATTTTCTTCTTTGTCGAGTGTAGTTTCAGATCATTTTTGGGAAGAATTTAGCAAACCCTTCAGGCTTCCAAACCCCATCTGCAATTTGTCTCTAGTCTTCTAGCCCTTAAAGGTCAAAAAGACTGAAGTGGGATTTCGGCAACGGAGAGACTGCTTCTAGACCAAGAAGAAGGAGTAAAGCTCTCCTTGTTCTACCTGGTTTTGGATGTGGCCCAAACCCTGAAAAAATACTTTACAGTTGTTGAGTAGGTGATTGTGAAACTGAACTCTGAATCATTCTGTTGAAAATACTTTCATCTCTTCCTAGAAAATAAGAGCCTGGACTCTCTAGCATGGCATTACTTGTTCAAATGCCACATACCGCAGACTGAACACTACCTGCAAAGTTCTTTTACACTTTATGACTCCTGCTTGGAAAGCCAATGGCCCTTTCTGCGCCAGGCAATACTAACTTATCCTTCAGGGCAGCACCACTGTCTTCACCTATCTGCTGTGCCTTCGCCAAATACTATTATTATAGGTCCTTCTGTGCCTGCAGAACAATCTCATGGAGCATTAAAACGTTTTCTCTATTCTCAACTGTTGAAAGGCAGAAGCTTTACGGTTTTATTTTATGCATCACCCAACGCAATAAGAGGAACTTCAGGGACTTCCCTTTTCATAGCACTCATCACCACGGGATTTCTGATGTTTTTCAATAATATATTAAGCCCTCTGAGGACAAGGAATGAACTAATTCCTGTTTACAGTTGTAGCTTCTCTAGCTAGCATAGTACTAGCACTAGGTAAACAATGTCTTTCGAATACATGTTCGGAAACTGTCACCATCTCACATCAAGGATGGATCTCTTCAAATCAGGGTGACTAGGTCCCCAGGATGCTGCATTTTAATTATTCCCACCCCAACAGCGTGGTGGTCACATGCATAACGGCCCTAGTTGACAGCCACATCATAATGTGTCAAGCTACCAAATACGTCTAATAAGCACTTCCTGTGTTCATGCTACTGGGTGGAAAATCGAATACTGATCGGCCTCAAGGGTCAATCGGCTAGTGCTGGGAGGATCTCATTAAAAAATGAAAACGAACCAGGAGCGATACGGGCTGTGGACGAGATTCAGGGCCATAATATCCCTCATGTACATATTACAAGCCTAAATCATAGCTTTGAGGGCTCCGGGTCTCCCGAAAAGAGGCGACAACCCGCGGAGACAGATGGGCCGTGAACTGTGCTGGGCCCTGACACAAGGGGCCTCAGATGAACTGGGGGAAGTCGGAGCCACTGCAGGGTGGCCGGCCGAAGGAGGCCCCAGGCAGCAGCTGATCTCTTTCATGTGTCCGGGCCTCCTCTCCCACCTCTCCTTAGGATTTCCGTGAACCGGCCCGGGCCCCCCTCCCACCCAAGGACCCGTCTCCACACTCCCGCCCTTCCCAGAGCCTCCCCAGGGCCCCTTCCACCTTAGCTCGAGCTCTCCCCGGCCGAGGTTGGGCTGCACCCGCCTTCAAGTAGAGCCGATTTGGCGGCCAGCTTTTTTCTCTCTTCCGTCCTACCACTGAGAGGACGGCAGGCAAGGGCTAGAGAGACTCAGCGCTACCATAAAGCGACGCCCTGGAGAAGCCTAGAGAGGATCGGAGACTGGCCCGCCTCCTGGGAGGAAAGGGCGGGGCGGTGTTAATTGGCAGAAGACGCAAGGTGAGGCATTGGTTGCTTCAGGAGCTGTCTAGTTTTTACTGTTTGTTTTTTCAGGTTAGGGAGTTGGGAGCTCCTTGGGACCATTTTTTACGAAATAGGGTTCGACTAACTTGGACTGTGTTTGCAAATCCCTACGCCTGTGCGTGAGGCCAAATTTTTGCACCCCATTTCTCCTAATCTCTGGAGAAATGAATGAGTTACAAGAACTTCAAGAACAGCCCCTTTATATATAGTCTCACGTTTTACGTGATTTCTTTTGTTCAAACGAAATATATTCCAAAATGTATTTTAAATTATATATAAATATATATAATTTTTATTTTTAAATGATAAACAGTAAAAATAGATGTGTTTATTACTTTGAGTAAAATGTAGGCTCCAGGAAGATGCGTGTACATTTTCTGAGGGAAGACACAGTTTATTTCCTGTATCCCTAGTCAGCCATAGTTTAGGCGCTCAGGTTTTGAGGTGGGTGTTATTCATCTAGAGTCTTTGAGAGGTTGTGATTCCTTAGACTGAAAAGGCTCAGGTTTTAGCCATTTTCAGGTGGGGATAGGAGGAGGGGAACACTCAAACTATTGTTTTTTGTGTGTTTTTTTTTTTTTTTTTTTTTTTTTACCACCCAAGTGAAAAATGTGAGACAGGGAAAGAAGGTAAGGTCCACCAAGGCCCCAGCTTGTTAGTAATACAGAACACACCTACTGTAAGTTGTTTTCTGCAGTGAGCCTATGGCCCTTCCTACTATTTCTTTTCTGCTCGGCAACCAGGCTGGATTTTGCTGCTTACTAAATCAAGTGGATCTTAGAACTAGGGAATTGGAAAAAGCCAAAAAAAAAAAAAAAAAAAAAAAAGATAATCCCTTCAACTGTGTCTGCCAGAGGTCACATTCTTTTGTTACTTTGTGTTTGGTGCTTTGCTAAGAAATAATGAAACAAAAAGAATAAAATTTATCTCTACTTTGAAATAACTCATACATTAGTGAGAGACATAGGAGTAAAGAGTTAATCACAGCCTGATGTGATAAATACCATAATAGATCATATATCATATCAAGGATATGAACAGGATATAAAGAGACGCATGAAAGCAAGGACATTCAGTAGGGAGATTAATGCTTGAATTGAGCTGTTGTGTGGAAAACTAACTTGATGCACCCGTGGCTCCAAGTACACTACTAGTTAAGCTAGTCTAGCAGTAATGAAACAGAAGACTCACAGACCAAATTACGATGCTTGAAAAACATGGTTTATTGAATCAATTTAGATACCCAGGCAGGGGAAAGAGTTAGAGCGAGTTGACACACTTAGGATGGGGTGTAAGCAAGTGGAAGGACACCACCACTTGAATCATGCAATGTTTGTATGTTCTATGGGCCACATCAGCATTTTCCACTGATAATATGCTTATGAGAACTAGAGTTGAGGTTATAGCCAGGAGGCCCACAGGTGGAAAGTGCTTTGGGCCAATGGCTCACACCTGCTCTGTTGGATAGATATAAGGAAACATGCCTGGCTGCAATCAGAGCCATGAACAGATGTTAATTTTATTTGCATTTCTTGGATAGAGCACATGAGACTATACTAAGTGTCACTTGTGGGTAGCTAATTTAGGGCTGACAAAACTTTCAGCCCAGAGATGGCACAGTTATTCATACCTGTTTTTCCATTCCTGTTTGACTATAAATGACCGTCTTCCATCATATTTTTTATTTAGCTTTGGCATGCCTTATAGTTTACTAACTTACTATGTATATTTAACATAATTCTGCCTGTGTTTCAGAAAGTACGTAGTTACTCATATTCTATATATAAAACATCCTAGGAGCTTTGCATTTGTCTCATAAGCTACTAGTGTACTTAGCACTTCTTGTGACTAACACTTCTTATGACTTTCTTCCATCTTGAAGGAAACTGCAAGGAATTCAGTATAGTTGGGATGAGAAGCTGGAGAGGTAAGTAGAGGACAGACAGTACCTTCTTTATGGCATATTAAAGATACTAGGTTTATACTGAAGAAAACTGTAAAACTATAGTGCAGAAAATAAGGGGTACAGTCCTGGGCAGGAGGGCCAGGTGGAATCTCTTGCCCTAATGCAGCTGATCAATAATGAGGGCCTCAATCAGCCAAGGCAGTGGTTCTATGGAGTTAGAGGTGACTCCCCCACCCTCAGATACATTTGATAATATTTGGAGACATTTTTCATTGTTCAAACTAGGGGGTTCTACTGATAAATACAGGGAAACTTCTAAACATCCTACAATGCACACGACAATCGCCCACAACAAAGAACTGTCTGGCTTAAAATATCAGTAGTACCAAGGCTGAGAAACCCTGAAGTAAGGGGTTTAAGGAAGCACAGAGAGGATAGAGGTTAAGCAATTCAATCTAGTTGGATTTTATAACTGATTAGATGTGAGGAAGAAGGAGAGAATGAGTAACTTGCTAACTAGGAGTAACCAAGCTTGGGTAACTGGGAGGACAAAGGTAAAAGTAGGAAAATAGAGACAAAGAATTAAACGTTGAATATGTTAAGTTTTGAGATACCCCCAAAATGTACACTAAGCAGGTGGAAAAAAGAGAGGGGATGAGAAGAATTTGAGTTGGAAGATAAGAATTTTCATGTGTATTTTTAATGTTTATTTATGAGAGAGAGAGAGCACGAGTGGAGAAGAGGCAGAGAGCAGAGGATTCAAAGTGGGCTCTGTGCTGACAGCAGGGAGCCCAATGCAGGGCTCAAACTCACAAGATCATGACCTAAGCCAATATTGGATACTCAAGTGAGCCATCCAGGTGCCCCAGAATTTTCTTAATAAGAAATGTTTGTACCAGATTAAATTAGAATCTTCAGATAAACTCTAAGAATCTGCATTTTTGGCAAGCAATTAGGTGAACTTGCAGCATGCCAAAATTTGAGAACAATAGTTTTAGGTCTCAAAAGAGAGATCTCAAGAACAGAGAGGGAGGTAGCAAGAAAAGAAGGGAAGAGTAAAGTCCCAAAATCCATGGAAGGAGAGAGTTGCAAACAGAAGTTTTATTAGTACAAGAGGTTGCTATAATTAGCAGTACTGGCCATTAGAAGTATAATGCAAGTCACCTAGGTAATAAATTTTCTTGTTGCAATAGTAAACAGGTAAAAAGAAACAGGTGAAATTATTTTAGAAATATATTTTGTTTAACCCATTATATCTGAAACATTTTAACATGTAATTAATGTAAAATTAATGAGGCATATTCCATCCTTTTTTTCATATGAAGTCCTGGAAATCTGGTGTTCATTTTATACCTCCAACACCCTTAATTTGAACTAGCCACAATTCCAGTACTCAGGAGCTACACATGGCTGGCTAGTGACTACCATATTGGATCTCACAACTGTAGAAGGTCAAGTAAGCAAAGAACTAAAGTGTAAGCTTCAGCTATAATAATAAGGGTGGTCATAGTTCTTGTGATAGGAGCTCTTTCAGTGAAGAAGCCAAAATATGCCTAGATAAAGAATTGGAAGTTAGAGGTGATAACAGATAACTCTGAGAACATTTTAAAGAATCTTTGCTATTAATAATATAGTATGAGGGGCTTTCTTTGTACTTTTGAGTATTAATTTAAGATCATACAGCATAATTCAGCTTTTCATTTAAAATTTAACAGTTATATTTGAACTCTGCTTTTGCAGAATTGCCCTCCCCACAAAACAACTAGAAAATTGGGCATAATATGTGACATCAGTGTTGTCAGATATTAGACAGCAGGCAATACAGAATTGTGATCCCTGAGAGAAGAGAAATAAGGGAAGTCCTACAATGACATCACCCTGCTTCCTGGAGGCAGCGGTCAGGACACAGAGCAGGGAGGAACCTAAACTGAAACCAATGTTTTCACTGAGTGGGAGAGACTGGATGGAAATTGAAGAAAGCCAATGGGAAGATGTCAGAGAGGAGTAAGAGGCACAGAGAGAGTCTTTGAGGTCTGTCTGGCCAGGTGTGCCTTTCCTCCTTGTCCTTTGGCTGAGTATTGATCTGCACAATGGAAGACTGAAACTTCATGAGGCTTGGGAAAGGACCACCAAAAAAGCAGCAGGCCCAACAATTTCTGATGCTTACACAGGGCTGGGACTAGTTCATGTTCCATCAGCCATAGGAGAGAGCCCTTGTAATACACATGCTGCTTCTACCAATTGAAGTTAGAACAGTTGGGGACTGGCCAGCTTGCTTGCTTTCTCTGTCTTTCAGGTCTCTCCATGTGGTCTCTGGTTAGGCTTGCTTGCTTTTCTTCACAGCATGGTAGCCATAGGGTGGCTGGAGTTATTAACATGGTAGTTCAGGGCTCCCGGCGCTTGTGTTCCAGCAAGGAAGGTGAAAGCTGTTTTGCCTTTTATGACTTATCCCCTAGTCCCATATTGTCACTTCTACCTCATTCTGTTGGTTATGTGCAAGTCATTGAGTGTGGTCCAGATTCACGAGGTGGGAACATGGCTTCTACCTATTGACGGGAGGAATATAAAAAAAAAATTTTTGCAGATATGTTTAAAAATGCAAAAGATGGCATAGTCTAGGACCAAATCTAATCACTACCATAATTTCGAAGTAGTGATGAGTATAAATGATATTTTGAGATATCTGTAACAACTTTAACTTGAAACAAAAAAATCTTTGATTTCTTTTGGTGACTAAGTTTTAGGTAATGGAGACACAATTAATGCTGCAGCAGTACTAATAGGTATACCAATTCTGTGACACCAGCTGGGAAATCCTATGAGGTCCCACAGGTTAAGGGTTCAGTTCTACAAGACTGCCCCTTGCCCACTTCAGATGCTAATTATAAATCCAGCTTGTTAGCTGTGCTTCTGACTCACTGC